GATCACTCGTTGCTACCATGCAATATCTTATGTAAGTTATGTTCCCAGGGTCCTATGTTCCTATGTTATTCCCAACTTAGTTCTGCTGTTGCCAGCGGGTATGTAGAGAGATTGTAAAGCAGCTCAACTAATTAGAAAAAACTAAATTAAAAATCCACAAATTAAGTCAGTTATGACAATTAATTGAGTTATTCTTGCAAATAAGAGTGCATGAAATTAGCCAGCAAGCAAGCAGAGGAGATGAAGTTATTAAAAGTAAATATAAAGTAATGGATGAACGATGGAAATAATTAGCTAGAAGTATGAAAAAGAGAATAAACTATTGAGATTTAAACTAAAAGTAATGGATAAATGGCTGAAAAGGTCCAAATATATTGGTCCCATAATCACTATTATATCCCCTTTTATGTGATTAATATTTAAATAACATCCCGTTTGAATTCAATTCAAATGAACGCATTTGGAACATCAGTGGTGGTGTTGATGAAGGAGTGCCGGAGTTCATCAGACAGAGTGTGTGTGTGTTGGGGGGGGGGGGGGGTTGAATAAGAAATATACTTACTTATTCATTTTAGGGGGCCAGGAGGAGTGGTTACACTTTTCCTTCTTCCTTCCTGTTTTGAAGAAAAAATGAGACACAACATGATAAAATAAAATCTCTGTCGAGTGCCCGCCACCAACCATTGTGCAATTACTACATTAAACATCATTACTTTGCGGCTCCATTTTGAAGCACAGAACTTCAAAGAGCACATCTATCACATCCTGATTGCTTCGGCTCTGCAGTGGATGCATTATTTATGCTCCGAAGGATCCAAAAAATCACAAAGCCGGGTATTATTATATTAATTTTTTCAAAACGTAGCCTTGATATATAATAATTGGGTTGCATACCAGTACTACTACTACTACTACTACTACTAATGAAATGACCTTCATCATTTGTGTGTCAGTAGACCTGTAAATGTCGGCCTAACATACCAGAAGAGGGCGACGCCCGGCAAACAACAAAAGAACCACACCAGATTGCCCCTCGCTTTTTAATGTCCATGGTACCCATCTGTCACAAGGGCCTATGACCATTCATCGCTACAGGCTGCCAAGTCTCAATAAATTGCGATGCACCACTCTAATTATGCAAAGAGGCAGCCGCCAGCCCAAAGGGTATTGACGCTGCCGACTCATATCACTGATCCGAACATACTTCTGACATTTCTGTATTAAAATGTATTGTCTTATGAAATATTCTAATTTTCTGAGATACTGAATTTGGGTTTTCGTTAGCTGTAAGCCATAATCATCAAAATTAAAAGAAATAAAGGCTTGAAATATTTCACTGTGTGTAATGAATCTATATATGAGTTTCACTTTTTGAATTGAATTACTGAAATAA